ATGGCAGCATGCAGATCCTGGAGTGCTCGTGTTGGATGGCTGCCTCTGGAGGACTCTGGACATTGGAATGAACTTTTAGCACATGTATTTATAGGGCAGGCAGCAAATGCTTCAGCCGTCGGCGGGCTGCATGAGCTCCGTTTGTGCTCTGCTGAGAATTGTCCATGATGCTAATTAACACTTATTTAATTTTTACTAAGGAAGGCACGTGTGCCACTCACAGCAGTGAGGAGGAGCTCGTGGTCCTGGGAGAGAGGAGATGGACTGACCCTCACTCTGCGTTGTTCCCAGGCTTTTCTGGGATTTAAAAAGTAGCTGCACATCTGATGTTTTCATCAAGTAAATGCAGGCAAGGGCAGGATAAGAGAAGTTGTTTCCCTCTTCCATTTTATCTTCTGGTTTTAAATCTATAGGCTTCTCACACTTAGCTTCCTTGTGACTGCATTGTCCTGACGATTGGCACTTAGCAATTAAAGAAGGAAAGAAACAAGCAGAACTTCATAAAGAACAGTTTCTTAAATGTACTTTTCTCTTGGATTGAAGGATGTTACTCGGAGAAGTGAAGGGGTTTCACTGTGTCCATCCCCACCTGCACAGAAGTCATACAGCTGTTTTATGCCCTGCGGGAGGGATCCCCCAGCGACCAGCCAACATTGCTCTCAGGTTCTGATGGACTTCTACCACCAAGGAATCACTTGGTCTTTTGGGGAATAAGAACTGAACTCGCAATTTTTTTGCTCAGGCAGAACTTTCTGGCATTTACTTTACGTAGGGAATTTTTGCTTTTGTTTTATTTGGTCGCATACGACCGATTACTCTGTGTCAAGAGCAGGATCTCTGTGAAATTTACTTTGACTCATTTGTAATGCCTTATTTTCTTTATATTTTTATGCCTAGCATTCATGTTTCTAGGAACAAGTGTCCAGCCACGCACAGCACATCTGGAGGAGATGCTCTTTTCTGTCTCTGAGGTCTGAACGAGTGGAAATCGAGAGATAAAGACTTCAGGTGACTCTGTCTGTATATGAATTACTGTGCTTATCTCTAGCATCCACAGCTCTGGGACAATCCTACTCCAAGAGGAACATGCTTAGCAGGATAAACTGTATACCGAGCAACTCAACTGGAATTTTGGTGTGCACTGTGATCGACACTTAAACCTACAGCAAGCAATATGGCAAACTGAAGAACTTCTCCTCTTCTGCGTGGCCTGGGCTCGTCCAGCCAGCAGGAAACGCACAGATATGGGGGGAACACGAGGAGGAAATCTGTCCTCAGCTGCTTCGCTCCGTGAGCATCCCAGGCTGAGCATCATTGCCATCATGGTTTACTGCCATGGGGCACTGGGGAGGTGGGGAAGGAAAACTGGAGGTGTCCACACCGCCCTGCAGAGGCAGCGGGCGTCTGGTGCAGGAGGTGATGGTGTGGGGGAGGAAGGCACGGTGGTTTGCCTGGGGAGGTGTCTGCCTGACCTCCTATCTTCGTGTTCAGAAGAAATATTTGCTCTTCCATGGAAATTCTTTCATGACTTTTATGTAATGTATGTGTCGGATATAAAGACAAGCAGTGTTTGATAACTGGAATAACGTATGTCTGTTTGATAGTGCTTTGTATGAACAAAGGCTTCTTGTTCATCAGATGTTGGATTCAAGTAATCCAAAGCAAAACTTTTAAAATAGGGTTTTAGGTGAGCAGTCTTAATAGTTTGGGAAGCTGTAACCTCTCATGTTTTATTTCCCTTGTTGGGAACTGAGCAGTGTGCTTTCATGGTTGCTAAATTTCTGCCTCTCTGAGGCAATCCAAAGGCTCTCAGTTATCTCTTATACATGTTCTTCATGTCAGAGAAGAACATGTCCCATGTTCTTCAGTGGGACGTGAACCAACTCTCTCACTTGATCTGTACTGGCTATTTTCTTGCAATGAAAGTGATTAAATAATTAGAGTGCACTGTGACAGCAGAAAAAAAAAAATCCGTGTTATATATGTATGTATTTTGATACCTGTTGAAAAGGAGTCTTTGGGTTTCCTGTGATGAATACCTCATATGTTGAATTTTTTTGGGTTTTTGTTGAATTGTATTTGTTTTTTTGTTCTTTTTTTTTTTTTAAGGCAAGATTGTTCTTGCTCAAAAGTAGGTTAAGGTAACCAAGTTCTCATAAATTTATTTACAGAATCCAAACCCTTCGGAGTTCGGCAAGAAATTCCATCTGTTCCGGTTCCTATCTGGAGTAATATTGAGACCATGGAGGTCTGTGCAGATGGAGTTTGCTGCCTCATTTCTTTCCTCCTGTGTGTCAGAACCTCAGATTCAGTTGAATTCAGCTGCGCGTGCTTTGGGTTTTGCTGAGCGTTTGAGGGATTTTCTTCCAGGTGTCTCTAGGTAGCACTTCAGACCCTTTGCATCCATTTACCTGACGGACTGGAATGCTCTGCGTGCAGAGGGAAGCCTGGAGGCAGGTGGTGGTTCTCACAGTGCAAGGTTTGCTCATCAGGCAGCTGTGGTGATGGAGGAAGGCCCATAGGGACAGCTGGAGGGGCTCCTTGACTGGTGGGCAGCTTGTGGTCCCTGTGCCTGGCAGGATCCGGCCCTGACCTCGTGGAGATGCTCTGCAGTGAGCAGATGCCTTTCCTCACTGCTCTATGAACCACCAGCAAGGGGAAAAACGAAACAAAACAAAAAACCATAGGAACCTTGAGGCACTCCCATCACTACCGGGGCAGAATGAACAAACGAGGGCTTTATTTATTGTGAGGTTTTTAGTCGTAGCCTTTTTGTGGGCTCTGCTGGCAGCCGCGGGGCCACGGCTGGAGGTGCTGAGCTCTGATGGGCCGTGCTGAGCTTCGGCTCTGAGCTCACACTTCACCTGCTGAGAACCCTCCTGGATCCGCTCCTGCTCGTCTCTCCATTTCCTGGTACTTGAAACCAATACTTGACCACAGCGGTGCTGGGCAGGGCTCAGTTCTTGGGGCCTTTGGGTGGACCTGGAGAAGCCAACGCAACTCAAGGCCTGAAAAATGATGATTATATATATATATATTTTTTCCTTTTTGTGCTTCCTATAACGTGGTCAGAGACAAAAGCGTCGTGCTTTGAAGATGGGCCGAAAAGAGGCGAGGGCAGCTCCCTGCTGTGCTGATACTTGAGGTACCACGCTTGGTACAGGGTAAACACTGAGCGGTTTGCAATGGAAACAAGAGGAGGATCCTTCACTTAAAGGCACTGTAGTAACTTTATGCTTGAAGTGGACTTCACCCTTCCTTTCTCTTCAGGCGCAGCCCTGTGCTTGAATAAATGAAGTCCAATGGACTTGGACTCGTGTGCGTGTGCCAAACTGCTGGAGCAATACTTGGAGCAGCAGGTTCTGTACCAGACCAGCTCTATGTAGCCAAAACAGGGCCAACACTGAAACCACCTCCGATGCACATTGAACAGCAGCCACGTTATGGTTCGACTGTACTGGAGTAGAAAATCTGACTGCAAAGTCTGGAAACTGCATTCTGTTGGTCCAAAGCTTCAGTCCTGCAATGGGCTCTGCGTTGGGGTTTTGGGTTTTGTTAACAGCGGTTGTTTGGTGGGATGGGATGTTCTTGCTTCAACAGTTTCCATTGTTTCATGTCTTCTACACCAATATATATATGGTGTATATATTAAACCGTGTAAAGTTGTACTTTGTATATAGAACTGTACAATATGGAGGTACATCCTTTTTTTTTTTTTTTTTTTTTCCTTCCTTTTGGTACAGTATTGTACAGTATTTAGGAGTAATATGTGTTGGAAATGTTAAATCCGTACTGGGGCTACGAACTGTATTCATTGTCATTAGCAATAGTTTTGGAGAAATAAATGTTTTGGGTATGGTGGAAACGCTGACCTATGGGTGCCAATGAATGATGTGCAGAGTGGGTGCTGTGGGTGTGCCTATGGGTGCAGGGGTTGGAAGGAGAGAAGAATCATCCTCGTGTGTCTGCAGACAGTGCAGCCTTGTCCTGAGTGCTGGGCTGTGTGTCCATCTGCTCCTGCACACACCTATCCAGCGACGGCAGGCATCAGCAGGGCACACGCACGTTTCCCTTGCAGTGACCTGGTTTAAAATTGCTTAATCTTCATCGTTTTCCTGGAGAGGATGGGACTCAAACTGTCTGGGAAAGAGGATTTGAGGGTGGGATTATGGATTGGGTCGTTACTGTTATTGCTGGGTTTGCCCCCCATCTCAGCGTATGTTTTTCAGAGCGGGGTGAGGGAAGTGTGTCAGGGCTTTGTCACGTTGGATTCCCTTTGTTTGGGATCCAAGGAATGAATTATTTACAGTGAGGGCTGATGCATAACCAAGTTGTGCTGGGGTGACCACACTGTGTCCCCACATCCCTGGGCAGCTGTGGGTGCTCCTCCTGCACCATTCCATCCCCAGTCCTATGGTTGGTGCCTGGGGACACAGCAAGGCTGCCAGCCCAGCCCCATGTAACAGCAAAGGCAGCTCCCTATAGACTCCCCGTTGATTTCCAGGGGGTGCAGCTGCACGTTGGTTGGTGCTTTTTAAAATTACATGCAGTAGGAAACAGTAACGGGGTGATGGCCTGGTAATGGGGTGACAGAAACAGAAGCTTTGGGGCATTAACCCACTGGCCTGGAGGTGGATGCTATAATCCTTTAAAGCCCTCTGATCCCATCTTTGCTCGCTGTTGGGGCATGCAGCCCTCCCACTGTTTGCATGCAGCAGAGCAGAGCACAGCTGGGATGCATTGCTGGGGCTCTGCTGCCATCAGCCGGTGTGAGCAGTGCACAGTGCTGAGCTGCCACGGGGAAGCAATTTTGGGCTGTCATAAAAGCATCAGTTATTTCCTACCGTCGGCCCAACTCGACTCATCTGTCACTTAAAAGCGACGTGTGTGGGTTGGACGTTGGAGGAAGGCTTTGCTTCGTGCTTGCTTTGGGGTTTTATTGCTCCCAGAGCTGTTGTTTCACTTTCTTTTCCCTGCTGCGGGGCAGTGATGTGATCTGAGCTCTGCTGCCTTTGGCCCTGTGTCACTTTGCAGGTGTGCTGCCCATCAGCAGCTCCCCGATGGGTTTGTAGGGCAGCCTTTGGCGTGGTGCAGAAGTGGAGCTCAGTAATAATTAGCAAACGATTCAGGTGCACATTCTGCGTGCAGACCAGTGGAGCACCGCATCCACTTCGGGATGCATCATGTGCTGCAGACCCGAATAGCAGCGTGTGCTGCATTTCACTAGGGGAGCTCCTCCAGACACACATCCTACAAGAATACCTGATAAAGGGGGTGTGGGCTGCTGGGGTTGAGCAAGGCAAAGCAGCAGGAAGCAAGCAGGAACATGAGCCAGGCCCTGCAGCAGCAGAGGACCCCGAGCACAGTGCATCTCACCCTGCATCTCACCCTGTCCCATGTCCCACCCTGCTCCCACATCCCCCCCCCCCCACCAGCCCCAGCCCTCTGCTGTGCCTGGTCTGTGTCCTGCCTTGCTCTGGGGATGTCCCACACTGTAACTCCGGCCTTTGTTCCCGTGTGACCACATCTATGTGCACGTGGGGACAGCAGTGCTGTGACTGTTTGCTGCCATGAGGAGTCCCAGAGCTCTGACCCAGGGTGAGAGCAATGCTGGGAGCGGCTGGGGAATGCCCCGAATTGTCCCCACTGCTCTCTGCTCTGTGCTGAGCTGGGTCTGTGCTGCTCATGCTGGGGGATGTGTTTGTGGCTGGGGAAGGAGACAGTGGTTTTGCTCAGTTTGCACCTGCTTCCTCTTTGCCAGTTTTGGGCTTTATTTGGGGCGGTTTTACCTGGGTGTGAAGGACTCACAGCTCTGTGCCTTTGGCTCCTGCAGTGATAGGAGCTGCAGTGCTGCCTGCGCTGGGGTCTGCAGGAACACCCCCAGGGAACTTTAATTGATATCCTGTGGTCTCAGGGTGACCCATCTCCTCCCAAGGGCTGCAGGCTTCCCCATCACAGCCCTGCAGCACCCACGAAGCAGCACAGCACTACAGCCTGCTGACATCCCAACTCTCGATGCTGCGCCCCGTGTTGAGGACGCAAAGAACAGCGGTGACTCCACAGAATGGCACAGAGGGGACCACGCAGAGCACTGCTCAAACCCTCCGCCCTTACCCCTGGCTCCCTGCCTCATGCAGAGTTGCACGCTGGCCATGCCCAGCACCATTGGCCCTTTCCAGCCCTGTCCCAGCTGCCTGTGGATGGCTGCAACTCTGGGAATTTTTTTTCTCAAGCAGGAAGCTGAAGCATTTCCTCCTCCAGCCGCAGCCGATGCTTGCAGAGCGAGTTTTGCAATCCCGTGGGTTTCTGTTCTGCAGCGGGGAGGTGCCTCTCTCCACCTTGCAGCTCTCCCCTCCCGTACTTTGTTGCATCCGCCGTTGTTGCGCTGCCGGCCCCGACAGGTCCCAGCGAGCAGCGGGGTTTGGCGGAGCACGGAGCAGCGTCGCTGCCTCCCATGTGCAGGTAGGAGGAGGGCAGTTGTGCTCTGCCTGCAGCTGTGCCGTCCCTGTGGCTGTGCTGTGCCTGCGGCTCTCCCATGCGTTGCCGGCAGCAGAGGGGAGAGCAGCGGTGACGGCGGTGCTCCTGGTGCAGGCGATGCAGAGCACCCCCAATTACCTCTGGAGCACAGATGACCTGCTGGGCCAAGGAGCCACGGCCTGCGTCTACAAAGCCCGCAGTAAGGTGAGGGGGGGGGGGGGGGACGGACATACGGCCACCCCAGGGCAACCAAACCCCCGTGCCCTCCTGCTCTGTCAGTACCAGAGCTGCTTTGGCTTCATTTCTGTTTTCCCCTCTGTGGCTCTATGGGATACAAGCTAGTTTTGGGGTGAGCTCTGTGCTGTGCACTGTGCAGTGCTGCTCCCCCAGCATCAGGGTAGGGGGGGGGGAATGCCTGAAGTTCTGCAAACCCCCAACTATGGCCATTTGCATGCTTCATGCAAACACTCGCCAGCGCTGGGATGGAGACTCACAGCCCTGCTGTTCTGTGATCTTTGTTCAGTAAGCGCGGGGCAGAGGTGAGTTGGGAGCAGCAGAGCACAGCAGTTGGATGCCCCCACCCCACTGCAAACCTCTGACAGCGCTGCAGAAACGTGCGCCCCCTGAGCACGTGGGTGCAGGGGCAGGAAGCAAACGGAGCGAGCGGCAGTGTTTGCTTTTGCAATGCAGGAAGCCGAGGCTGCCTGTCAGAAAGCAAGCTGTGCTCGAGTATTGTTGGCACCCAGAGCAGCAGTGAGGCTATTGGTGCTGTTAGGGATGGGGTGAGCCATCGTTCCCTTTTCCTCTTTTTCCTCCTTGCCCAGAAATCAGGGGAGCTGGTTGCTGTCAAGGTCTTCAACAAAGCCAGCTACCTGCGCCCGCAGGAAGTGCAGATGCGGGAGTTTGAGATGCTGCGGAAGCTGAACCATGAAAACATTGTCAAGTTATTTGCAGTGGAGGAGACAGTAAGCAGGACTGGGACCCTCCCTCCTACGCTGCTGTGTCCAAGCAGAATCCCAGGGCCCCATTGATGATGGGCGATTGGTCTTTCTGGGGGGGATGGGAAGGTGGCTGTACAGCCACCCTGCCTTTGCCCTGCTCCCCGCAGGGCAGCAGCAAGCAGAAGGTGCTGGTGATGGAGTACTGCTCCAGTGGCAGCCTGCTGAGCGTCCTTGAGGACCCTGCCAACGCTTTTGGCTTGGCTGAGCCTGAGTTCCTCGTGGTGCTGCAGTGCGTGGGTGAGCAGCATCTCTGTCTCAGAGCCGTTGGGATTGAGGTGGACATCGGGCACTGGGGCTAACCTGCGTGCTTGGAAATGGCACCGCTGGGTGGCTGGGGAGTGTTGGCTTTGGGGAAAGCCCACAGGATTTCCCTTTCCAACAGCTTTGGGAATGGGCTCTGCCCCCACCGCTGACAATTCAGAGCTGTGCAGCCCCATGCACTCCCTGCTCCTCCCCATTCCCCGAAGTCCCAATTACTGATGTCATCCCCATTAATGTGCAGCCCCCTCCCCGGGGTTTGTCCTTACCTCTGTTCTTCTCTCATTTATACAAACACAACTGCTGTTCCCCACCCGTTTCCAGTGGCAGGGATGAACCACCTCCGTGAGAACGGTGTTGTGCACCGGGACATCAAACCTGGCAACATCATGCGCCTGGTGGGGGAGGACGGGCAGAGCATCTACAAACTGACTGACTTTGGTGCCGCTCGGGAGCTGGAGGACGATGAAAAGTTTGTGTCTGTCTATGGGACAGAGGAGTACTTGGTGAGTATGGCCCCGAGGTGTGCGGGTGGACAGCATCCGTCTCTCCATCCAACAGTGAGGCGCTGCATGGAGAGAAGCAGTGATGCTCAGGGCCGCTTTCAGAGGGGCTCTGCTTTTTTGCAGTGAGCTCTCAGCTCGTAGCATCACAAGCACTGTTTGGTGTCGAGGACGTGGCGCTTAGAATCATAGAATCGTTAAGGCTGGAAAGACTGCTAAGATCATCCAGTCCAACATCAAGCCACCTCCACCATCAGGGGCAGTTTTGATGCCACCCTGTTGAGCTTGGTAGGCAGTGATGCTCTGCTCTGTCCTGCAGCATCCCGACATGTATGAGCGTGCTGTCCTGCGGAAGCCACAGCAGAAGGCATATGGGGTCACCGTCGACCTATGGAGCATTGGTGTCACCTTCTACCACGCTGCCACCGGCCGGCTGCCCTTCGTGCCCTTCGGGGGACCCCGCAGGAACAAGGAGACTATGTGGGTACCTGGTGCAGGACAGCACTGTGTCCCTTATAGCTGCATCCCTTAGAGCCTAGGGGTAAGTTAATGATCCCATATAGCCTAGGGGTAGGTTAATAACCCCATATAGCCCTGAAATAAGGTAATAATCCCATCCGAGCCTGCAAGGCTTGCAGTGCAGCTCCAGGCTGCCTGCAGAGTGAGGACCACACGTGCACATGATAGTAAAGGACATGTGTTCCATTTACTGTGTTTGCCCTTTACACTCATCCTCGTGGCTCTGAGGTGAAGCTCCTCAAATAGAAGGCAGCATTCAGAGAGGCATGGAATTTTTTCACTCTTTCTTGGACTGTTCCCTCCCTCCGCTCTGCGTTCTTGCTGTAAGCTGTGCCTTTCCCCATCCCTCCCTGCTGCACCCCAGGTACAAGATCACCACTGAGAAGCCCCCCGGGGCCATTGCAGGCGTGCAGCGACAAGAGAATGGCAGCATTGAATGGAGCTACGAGCTGCCCCTCACTTGCCAGCTGTCAGTGTGAGTGTCCCCATGGGGTCCCCTGCGTACGATCGCAGCAATACAGATGTTCATCTCACCTCCTTTTGCTGCTGCAGGGGGCTGAAGGATCAGCTCGTCCCCATTCTGGCCAACATCCTGGAAGCAGACCAGGAAAAATGCTGGGGCTTCGATCAGTTCTTTGCAGAAACCAATGACATTTTGCACAGGATCGTGGTCGACGTCTTCTCCTTGCAGCAGGCGTCCTCGCACCGCATCTACATCCACTCCTACAACACGTGAGGGTGCCCAGCCAGGCTGGGTGGGTTGGGGGGCTCAGCTCCTCCATGGCCTCGGTGCTGTTTTGCTACAAGAGGACATTTGCAGTTCAAGAGGTGGAAATCTGAGTGGGTTTTTTCCATTTCAGTACCAGCAAGTTTTTAGATGCTGTCTTCAAACAAACGGACATAGTCCCTCACCATCAAGAATATTTTTTTGAAGGCCACCCATACGAGTTGGACCCCAACCTCCAAGCCCATAATTTCTGCAGAACAGCCCGGCACAACCCTCTGACCCTGCTGAGCTGTGCTGAGCAGCCAGAGGACGTGGTGGGCCTGAGATACAGAGACCGTGAGTACTCCGTCTGAGGTGCATTGCAGTGCCCCCCATCCAGGGCATGGGGTGGGCACCATGAAAGGTTCGCTTTGATGACCACCACCCTGCTGGGCTCAGGGGCAGCAGGGTTAGGAGGCTGCAGGGTTATTTTCTCCCAAAGATTGTAGTATGGGTGCGATGCTCTGCTCTGCAGGCGGCTCGTGCCTTCACCCACCTCTCCAAAAACACAGATGCATGGAACGGCTTGGGTTGGAAGGGACCTCAGAGGTCATCCAGTTCCAGCCTTGGAGAGCTGCCCTCAGCCTCGGGCAATGCAGTGCTCCAGTGCCTGAGCAGCTCTGGGATTTGTTGGGATGTCCCTCCTGAAGCTCTCTGACCGCTCTCCACCTTTCCAGCTGCTCTCGACTTCCCCAAGTTCGTCTCCAAGGTGGACGTGGTGGCCGATTGCAGCGCTGCCAAGGTGGGCAGAGGAGGGGGGACGTGGGGAAGCCCCAGCAGAGTGGACACAGCCGCCGTCCCCATCCCTTTGCTTTGCAGAGCGCGGTGGGCGCCGTGCACCAGGCGCTGCGGATCGCGCAGGAGCTGCGGCGGTGCCAGGAGCTGACAGTGCGGGGGCTGCACTGGGTGATGTGAGTGCTGGGCGCCCCTCTGCTTCAGTGGGAGTGTTGTGTTGAGTTTTGGGGGGTTCTGTGGCAGGCGGTGTTGGAGCCCTGTGTGTGGAATGCACGTGTCAGGCTGGGAGGGGACTGTTCCCAAATGGGGACTCGGTGTTTGAGGATATTCCTACCCAAATTTGCTGCTTTCAAGTCAATTTTTTCCAGTCTGGGAGGTGCTGGGAACAGGTCATCATCATCTTCCTCATTAGGATTAATTATCACTGTGCATTTTCCCCACTGCACTCATTCCCTTTGGGCAGGAGCTCCTTGCGCTGCGTCCTTGCTCCCTGCAGGGCAGCATCCTCACACCCAGCACTCCTCCTTTCTTATTGCACCCAACTCCTTGCTTTTCCCTGAGTCGCACGAGCCCTAAAGCTGATGGCATAGAGGGCACATGATGCACTAATCACTTTTTCTCCTGACAGTGGCAACCTGAGGTCTGAGTGCTCGAGGGTTTTGGAGCAGAGGAGAGGGGTGCACGCGGTGCTCTCTGGGCTGCAGCTGATGGAGGGGAAGACCCGTGGGCTGTAAGTGCAGGGGGTTCCATGGGGCTCTTACAGCCCACGATCCCAGAGTGGGAAAGCTGCCTTGGGGTGCTCCCAGCCCTCCTAAACCATCTGCAATGGGATGCCCTTTGTGTCCTTTATAATTTTACTTCTTCTGTACCTTTTATGTCATTTTATGTCCTCAATACTCTTTGTGTCCTTTGTGTCCATCAGAGGGGCTCCAGTAATGGAGCATTGTCGTGAGGAGCCTGAGGCAATCCTTGCCCTGTCTGGCACCCACCTCAATGCTCTGCCCCAGGCAGAACCAACCCCATAATGTCTAAAATAATCCACGCTTACTCTGCTTTTTATTTTGTTGTTGCAGTGCAAAGTGCCTTGCTGCTGGCTTGCCTTCCTTTCCTCTTTTCAATTCAGGAAGCTTCTTAATTTCCATTTCATCTGAAAAGATGCAGACACATGGTTCCCATTGACTTCAGTTGAATTCATGTAGTTCCAAGGCACTGATGCTGCCTCTGGATGCGGTGCTCACCCATCCTTTCCAACAGGGTCTGGATTGGGCTCATTTCTGCTGGCTTCAGCAGCTCACACCCATACCAGCTGCGGGAAGTGGCAGCATCTTGAATGGCACGGAGCCAGCTCACAAGAGAACAATTTGGGGACAGATTGCACACAACCAAGAGAACTCATACCAGCCAGTGCTTTGCATCGCGTGGCTCCGATTGGGTGCCCTGAGCTTCCCCATGGAACTGCTATATGTTCTCCTTGCTCGGGTGATGGCTTGTTTTCACTCCTGGATATTCAAGATGGTTCTGTTTCGGCTTCCTGCAGGTATGAGGCCGTTCCTGGAGGCAGTGCACTGCCAGCCCTGAAGGACGTGGCTGCAGTGAAGATGCGGCTGCAGAGGGTGAGCAAACAGGGGGGAGGGAGGAAGGAGCACCCATGGGTGCGGGCAGCACTGGAAAGAGTCGTCCTTACCTCCCATTGTCCCCCACCTCCCATTGATCTCTGCAGGTGGCAGAGGAGCTTTCGCAGTGCTCCCACAGCATCTTTGACTTCCAAGGGGCCCTGGATGGGATGGTGTCAGAACTGGTGCAGCATGGGCAACAAGCTCACGAAGACAAAAGGTTCGTAGGGACAAAGACAGTGGGTTTGTAGACATGAAGAGAGCGGTTTGTAGACACAAAGACAGTAGGTTTGCAAATACTAAGACAAAAGGTTTGTGGATATAAAGGCAATGGTCTACCCAAATGCTCTACCCAAATCCCCATGGCTGTTTTCAGTTTGATTTTGGGTTGAGGTGTGTACACTGGGGAGGAAACCCCAGTCTCACATCCCCTCCCATTGGCCTCACACCTCCTTGCTGAATACAACTCACAGCATCCAGCAGATCGAGTGCTGTCTGGAGAAGATGCAGCTCATCTACAAGCAGTTCCGCAAGGCCAGGACGTGTCCAGGTGAGTTTGGGGCACTGAGCTGCAAGAGAACAAATGATTTCCCTTTGCTGGTTTATATTTCTGTGCTGTGAGATTAACCCTGGGGACTGCTGCTCTGAAGAGCCCCTGTGCATTATAGGATCACCCAGTGATTGGGTTACAAACCCAAGAGGTGCAGAGCTTGCTCTGATGGTGCCCTGTATCTTTCCTCCCACAGCACTGGGCTACAATGAGGAGCAGATACACAAACTGGACAAGTGAGTGGCACCACCCCACCCTTCCAGCCCCACACTGGCATTGCTATGGCATCCCAGTGGGATGCAGCATGTCCGTGGCTCATCCAGGCTGAGGAAGGACGAGGACATGTGGCTCCATGAGGAACCAGTAGTGTTCATTTCCATGCCCATTTTCCTGTTCATTTTTCCTCTTTCAGGGTGAATTTGGGGCACTTAGCCAGGAAGGTGCTGCTCATCTTCCAGGAGCAGTGTGCACAGCAGTACCAGGAGGCTCTGGCCCTCCATGGCAGCAGGGTGAGGTATGGATCCAGCTCATGATTTTGGGGCCATTGATTCGGTGTTGGGATGGGGCCTGATATTAGGAGGTGGATTGGGCCATTGATGGGCTGTGGATGTCGGGCTGTGGATGGGGCCATTGACCTGGTGTTGGAATGGGGATGGGGCCATCGATCTGGTTTAGGGCTGTGGTTGAGGCCATTGATTGGGGAGTTGGACTAGATGACCTTTAAAGGTCCCTTCCAATCCTAAGGACTCTATGATTCCTGATCAGTCTGGTGCTGGGATGGGGATGGGACCATTGATTTGACACTGGGCTGTGGATGGGGTCGTTGACCTGGTGTTGGGGTGGGGATGCAGCCATTGATCTGGTATTGAGATGTGGTGTTGGGATGGGGATGGGGCATTGATTTGACACTGGGGTGTGAATGGGACCATCAACCTGGTGCTGGGATGGAAACATTGCTTTGACACTGGGCTGTGGATGGGGCCGCTGACCTGGTGTTGGAATGGGGATGAGGCCATCGATCTGACATTAGGATGTGAATGGATGGAGCCTGTAGAACTGCTGCTGAGGGACTCATAAAGTAGCAGTGAGTCCTTAGAGCAGCAGCTTGGCTTGACCATGAGCAAACCTTCCCCGTGTCTGCTCTCACCCTTGTGCCAAGCTCTTTAGAGTTTGGGGACAGCCTCATTCCATGTAAACATGCAGCTTCCTTCTTGCAGCCACACTCCTTGCAGCGGGGAGTGGTTGTTCCATCAGGAAAATGTTGCTATTGAGACAAAGAGATCCACTTGTTAGCAGTGCCTTTCTGTTAAGTGGTGTTTGGGGAATAAAGCACAGAGCAGGCTGCCCTGCATTGCTAGAGCACAGGAGCAGAGAGCAGGGGAGGGGTGGGCAGCTGCTGTTTCCTGGGGTATTTTTGCCTGTTTTTCCATCTTTAGGCAAAATGCACTGTGAGTCACAACTGGTTCTTTAAAATTAGTTTCACTCCAGTAGTAATTGCCTTGTTTTGAGTTTATCCCTGAGCATTTGTGGCGGTGTGGGTGTTTTCCTGGGGAGCAGAGCTGGACCATTCACCTGAAATATTCTTCCCTTTTTATTTTAAGGGCAAACCAAAGGGTTTTTTTTTATACAACTGTGTCATTCCTGGTGCACTTCACCCCGAGGCACCCAGCATTGGCAGCAGCAGCCCCAGGGACAGCACTGCACTGTGGGCAGCAGCAATGCTCTTGAGCCAAATCCCACTTAAAGCAGCACTTTCCCTAATTAGTTAGTTTGCTATTAGTGCTGTTTGGATAGCAGAGCTGCAGCCCTAATTACAACACCGTTGCGACTCATTTGCTTTCCTTTGGGATTTTAACTCGGATCCGGCACAGTTTGCAGAAAGCGGAATTAAAACCACAGAAATATCAGTTTGACCAACATTGACCAGGACGTTTGCTCTTGTTGCCCTTCCCAGGAAGGTCTGTGAGATAAAGAAGCACCTGAAGAGGCTCAGCAACCACATCAGCACTTGCAGCGTGGAAGCCAGCGAGTGCCAGGACTGCTTGCAGCTGGTGGGTGCTGCAGGGCGCAGGGCTTGCAGGGTGTTGGTGTTGTACTTGGAGTTTCTGGCCTTTTGCTCAAAGGTTTGGGAGTTTGCTTTGCCCCACTGAACAAAGCAATGGTTGGATGAACCCCTGGCAGTGCCACTCTTGCTCCAAAACTGGAGTTGGGGAGTGGGTTTGTGCTCAATAAGGAAGCTGCCATCACAGAAAGGCTGAAGCATCGCCTCTGGTTGTGGTGATGGATTACCTGACATGCTGCAGCAGGGCTGGTGGGTTGGGTTGGGTTGTTCTGTTTATCCTGAGGAGTGGGTGAGCTGGGTGTGACCGCGTGTGCGTCATTGCCCTGAGTGTTTTGTCACCCTGGGGTAAACACGGAGGGCATGCACGCGAGCAGCTCGTGTTTGAGCTGTATCCTCTCCATCTATGCAGGCTTTGGACAAGTTTCTGCATACAGTTGTGCCAGAGAAGCACAGCCTGGCCCTGGTCCCTGCAGTGCCTTTACCCGTTCCCCTAAGCCAAACGTGCCAGGAGATGGCTTTGCAGTGAGTATTGGGGACAGTCTGTCCGTGGGGCAGTTTGGCACTGCAGAGCTGGTGTGGGGCTGGGAAGCTGCGTGCAGCCTTGTGCAATGCCCTGGTGCTGCCAGGTGCCGTCCCAGTTCAGGGAGAGGGAATAGGGGCATCTCCTGTGCTCCTCTGGGGGATGGAGGCAGCTGAGCTGTCCCTGCTAAGGGCTGGGCTGTGCCTGTGCAGGATGCAGGAGCTGCTGGAGCAGATGAAGTCAGTAACGTGCGACCTGCAGTTCAACAACGGCATCATCGAGCGGTGAGTGGAGCACTTGGAGAGCCCTGTGTTCTGCACTGGGGCCGGGCACTGAGCACAGCCACAGCTGTCCCAGCAGCAGCACACCTGCATCACCCTCTGACAGCAGAGAGAGTTTGTCTTTTTTGGAAATTTAAGCATAACCCCCTGCAAATGCTGTGCAACGCCTGCCATCTTCTGTGCAGCCCTTTCCCTGTGCTGCTCCGTGCTGCAAAGCTCAGCATCCTGCTGCTGGCACAGCTCCTTGGGCTTCTTCCTCTGCATGCTTTCTCCCAGGGCCTTAATGCACACCAGCAGTCTGGTTATGCGTACCAAAATCTCAAAGAGTTTCAATCTGGATTTTAAAAGAAAGCCATCAGTGTTTCACCCCAACCTTGTTTGTGTAGGACTAAGTGCGGTGCTGCAGCACATCCACGGTGAATGCAATGAAGGAAGAAGGGAAGAAATTACAGAAGCAGCCCAGGGTCAGCACTGCCACTGTAACCCCAAACTTTGCTCTGTTCCCACAGGCTCAGCAGGGCTGCTCCTGCTCCTGGGGTCTGAGCAAGGTGTGTTTGCAGCTGCAAAAGATAACAGGGGATCACTGCCAGCACCACAGCTCCTGCACCATGCACTGCTCCGACACTGCCTTGGTGCTAAAGCAGCTCTCTGGATCCTACCTCTGTGCTCCAGCACCTTCGAACAGTTCTCCAGCGTTGGGTGGCTGCAAGCCTTGAATATTTGACGAGAAACTGATGCAGCACCAGGTTCTTCCCTTTTAAAAAGCGATCAAAGGACTCGATGACTTTCTGACTTCTCTGTATCCCAATGTTAGTTGATGAGGAGGATAGACAGAGAAATTTTCTTTTGCCTTTTTGCCTATTTAGGGAAATTCTATTCTGGCTCTGCTCACTGAGCCCAGGGCAGGATGGGCTGCATCCAAAGGAGGAGATGACAAAACTGGTTCCAGTGCTGTCGCTGCCCCTGTCACCCTCCTCCTACCCTTGTCCCCAACCCCAGCTCAGCCCCATCCCAGCACTGCTGATGGCTGTGGGCACAGGAAGCTGGGGGAGGTTTCTCTGTTTTGATGCATTTTTGTAAATATAACTGAGATCTGTCAAAAAGAATTGCTTAACGTCCGCTTCTGCCTTTAATTTGCAGGGTGAAATAGTGCAGATGGCAAGGCTGGGCAGCAGCAGGGACGGGGCCAGGAATGGGGATGGGGATAAGGGAACCCAGGCAGGAATTCACTGGGGTGTCTGAAGCTGCCCTGGGCAGAACACCCCTCTTCTTCTCCAGGGAATGGCACAGCTGGGAAGAAACTGCTCCCATCCCACCGGAGCCCAGAGCTCTGTTATCGCAGCTATCTGTTATGCTCCAAATTTCAGCCTGGTTTCGGCTTTTACAAGAGGTCCTGGATTCTTCTGGTTATTGCTGAGTCAGTGCTGAAGGTCCCAGCAAAGCCCTGGGACGACTCCTGCAGCCCTGGCTCAGGGTTCAGCGATGCCTCTGCAAGGAGAGGCCAGGCCATGGTCTGGGCAAGCCGGTCTGACTCAGCACAGGGAGGCTCAGCCTGCCTGCCTGAACCCATCCCTTGGCATCTGGCTCTGCCCTTCACCCTCCAGTCCTCTTCCCAGTATGTTCTCTGGAGGTGAAATGTGCCAGCTCAGCCCAAAGCCTTCAGCTGAGGCTCACAGAGCTGCTGAGCTGCGGGAGCTCCAGTTTGTCCCCAGCCCAGGGCTATGATGGTGCACAGAGGGAGAGCAGCACCGCAGAGAGGCAAAGCCCAGAGCTGCTCCTTGCATTGCATTCCCACATTCTGTTGGGACACCTATAGGGGTCTGATGCAGAACAGCTTCCTTCTTGCTGCAGCTCTGCCTGGCTCTCAGCACAAGGGGAGCAAAGCACACAGCACACCTCAAAGGAACAGGGAGCAGTGGCTCCAGGCTGTCTTGGCTTCGTTTTCTTGTAGGAACAGGAGCATCAGGAGCTGCCCCTGTACAGCAAACCACTTCTGAGTGGTATTTGGCACCAAATCTGTACATTCCCATTCATTTTAATTGTAAAAACCAACATCCCGAGTGCCAAACCCAACTGCTCGCTGTGGAAGCAGTGGAGCTGAGCCACCTCTTAAAAGCTTCTCCCCTGCAAATTATTTACAAGGATTCTCCCAGCTTTACAACCAGCATTACATTGAATCCAGGTCCAGCAGAGCCGTGCTGATGTGGACCATGCGGGTGTTTGACCTGGAACGTGTTTGGCTCCAAAAGAAAGGATTTATTTCTTGGCATGCACCGAAAGGAAGAGCTGCTAATAGCCCTTGTCGTGCTTCAGCTGCCATAACGCAGCAGCTGCAAAGAGGAATCCCATAATCTAAATAAAACAGAGATTTTCTTGCCAGTGCTCATCAGGATTTCTTCCCCCCTCCCCCCCCCCCCCCCCCCCCCCAAATTATTAACCTTGGTCCTAAAAGTTTCCTGCACTGTCAGAACTGAATGCCTGCTGAGGAAGCAGAGAATGGCAGTGAATCTGCTCTATCTCCCAGTCTGGGGGGAGCACAGAGTAAAGCATCAGACTTTGGGGAAACCATTTACCCAGGAACAAATCTGCTGCTCTTCTCATGCAGAAGTAGAGGATGCATGAAAGTGAATCAGGATCCCGAATGGGGAAGGAAAAGACCTTCCAATATGAGTCATGCTACTTAACAGAACAAAACCGGGATTTTCCAAGCTGTATTATTGCTCCTTTAGTTTTAAGCTCTTATTAGGGATTGCCTGTTGCACACATCTTTTGTAACTCAGAGCCAGATCCGTCCTTCAAATTAAATTCCTTCAAAGGGTTTTAAGCATCCTTGGCTTATCCTATCCTCAGAAACTCGCTTTGTCTCTGTCATCAGACCTTCGGTGCGGCACCTGATCCAAGCACCCCCATCTCTGCACCCCAAAGCACCCCCACCCCAAAAGCAGTGCAAACGGGCGTCCTCAGAGCTGCAGTGCTGAAGCCTTTGCAGAGCGACTCCAAAATCTTCCCATCATATTTTCCCTTTCACTTCTCCCACAACCACAAAAGCCTCATCGTGGGAGAGGTAATTGCTTGGGCTCGCAGCCCTCAGCATCACTCCGGTGCCCTGCTGTCGTTTCAGAGAGGAAAGGTAATTTGTTCCAGCTGTCCTAGAGCCTGGTCCATGCACTGCTCTATGCAGGAGGGTCTGCGCCTTCAGCTCAGTATATAAAGCAGCACCTGAGAGGTGATCTCACTGCTCGTGTAGGGGCAAAACCGGGGATGGGATGGGAGTTGATGGGACGCGATGCTGCTGTGCTCCTGCAGTGTGCGCTCAGGACAGCTCTGCGCTGCACGCTGCCCACCCTGTTTTCAGGACCAGAATGAGGGTGATGTATGCACGCGACGGCCCCGCTCCCGAGCAGAGGAATGTCCCGCGGGGAGAGCTTTCACAACAGCGTGGATTGGGATTCTATGGGGAAATTCGAAAGGGAAATCTTGCGGGGAAAGGGAGGGGTGGGGAAGGGAATTACAACCGCGATGGATCCCATGGTAGGAATCGCTCCTCCGGGAGGGTCACCACGAGAAGATCCCACGCCGGGCCGTTCTCCGCACCACCCCTTCTCCGTGTCTCCTCCCCGGGGCGGCCCAACGCGCCCGCCCTCCCGGCCACACCGCCCTCCAGGAGCCCGCAGCGCGGCGTTCCGTTCCGTGCCCACCCGTGGGGCCGAACCCCCCCTCAGCTCCCAGCCCCTCCGCGCCCGGCTCCATGCGGCGGGGACCACCCGGCTCCGTTTCCCCTGACCCGGAGCCTCGGAACGGCCGAGCTCTGGGAAGCCCCGGCGGTGCCAGGGCAGCTCGACGGCTGCGGCGGCGCGGAGGGACCCCTCGGCTGTTACCCGACGTGCGCAACATCTTCGCGTCTCCGCGAGAAGCGGCGGAACGCGGCCGCGGCCACCGTTTCGTCCCCCGCGCCCCGCACCGCGGTTGGTGCGATCTGTGCGGAGCGGCCGTGCGGGAGCGCGCCCTGCGCTGCGACTGTGAGTGCTGCCGTCCCGCAATTCTGCCCCGCACCGCATCCCGCACCCTGCCTTCCGATACCGCTCCGTGACCCCCCACCCCTTCCCAATCCCATTCCCGGCCCCGGGTCCCCCCGTCGAGCTGTTCCTGTGGGGGTGCGGGGCCGTGCGGGGGATGAGGGAGCTGAGGTTTTTCTGGGGGAGATGGGATTATCGGCTCATCGGGCAGGATGGACTCGTGCTCGTAACGCCTTACGCCTAAATCCTTCCAGAAATAGCATGTTCGTTTCCCTTGCGTTTGTTGGGCACCTCGCCCTGCTCCAAACCCCGGGGCGAGCGGTAGGAGCTCTCTAGGAAGACGTGCAGTGCTCCCATCGGCTGCGTTAACGCAGGAGGGATTCGCATTCCCATCGTTTGTGGAGCGAGGAGGGTGTTAACAGGGTGTTCTGGTGCAGATACAGCCCGTGTGCATCTCTGTACGAGGGGTGGCATAAGAACTGGGCTATGCTGGGTGGGCAGCCCTGCATTACAGGCAGCGGAATTGAGCAACGCGGGTGCCACAGATCAGCTGTAAATGCTAAAAAGTGGCACCTGCTGCCTTGTTATTCCATACCTTCTGATTGGGGAAAGGGCTTACAGCCCACCAACTGTGAGGAGTGCCTGGGGGTGGAGCTCCTCCTGCCCAAGCAGTGTGCCCAGCAGGATGTTTTCAGGTAACTAAGGGAGAATGAGAGCTTTCTTGCTGGTTGGGTTGAGCTTTCACGTCTCTGTCGTGCAAATGTCAGTGCTGTACAACGAGCGCTGCTACTGCTGGGGAGATGAGGAATGCTGATGTATTTCTAGTGCAATTAATCTTGGTAATGAATCCATTTGTTCTTCCCCGGTCTCTGGTTGACAGCGCGAATTAATGAGGAAATTTGTTCCGGCAGTGCAAGGCTGGGGCTGCCAAACGTGGCCCCGCTCCACGTGGGGTGAGGATGCACACGGGCTGGGTGTGGGGCTCTGAAAATCCCGACCTGAAACGTTAATTGGCAGCACTTTGTGATGCTGAGCGTTGTAAAGGTGTGTTTTGAGGGATTTCTCTCCCAGGGCTTCTTTTCCGAGTGATATTGAAAGAAGCCTGAAGTGGCTGCTTCCCTTTTTGTTTCTTCTGAGAACTGTCAGACTGTGGGAACGGTTTTGCCTCTAAAATTCCCCGAACAACGAAGTGCCATCGCTGGGAGGGAGGGAAACTTCGGGGGGATTCTTGTAACGTCTGCACCCATTGCAGCAGATCCGTCTCTGTTGGTTTGGTGTTTTTTTTGTGTGTGTTTGTTCAGGTGGGGCGGAGCGCGGATGTTGGAATGTGAAGGTGACAACGCGGCTTTCAAGTCCTGTGCTGAGGTTTATTTAGGTTCTGATCGGGGATATCCAGGCGTGTGTGTGTGTGGGGGGGGGGGGGGGGGGGGGTCGGTTCTGGAAGCTCTGCTTTGTGATTCTGCAGCCTCAGAATTACAGAATGGCCAGGGTTGAAAAAGACCCTGAAAAAGATCTCAAGGATCACGAAGCTCCAACCCCCTGCCACCAACCTCCACATTTCATAGCAGCCCAGGCTGCCCAGGGCCCCATCCAACCTGGCCTTGAACACCTCCAGGGATGCACAGGGCATCACAGCCTCCCTGGGCAGCTGTTCCAGCACCTCACCACTCTCACAGCACAGAACTTCCCCTGACATCCAACCTCAATCTTCCCTCCCTCAACTTCAAACCATTTCCTCTTGTCCTGCTGTTATCTCCCCTTTCCAAGAGTTGATTCCCCTCCTGTTTGCAGGCTCTCTTTAGATTCTGAAAGGAACTGACAGCGTTTCATTGTGGCTCAGTGCCTGTTCCCCCAGGGTGTCCCACTTTTTATCCTTGCAGCACCGGCGGTGCAGGTGCTGAGTAAGAAATTCCTGCTGCTGGCAGCCCGCAGTGCCATCCCACTGCTCGCTCCTTCCCTTAATCCATGCATTGTGGGCTGGGCTTTTGCCACAGGTGTTTTCCAGCCTTGGGTCCACACTCATCCTGGCAGCACAGGGCATGACTTACAGCCCGTGTATTTCCTGGGCCGTGCTTATCAGACCCTGTGGG